AAATGCCTTCTGTATTAGGGAGAATTTAGTCTTCTTAGAACCATTTAATTTCAACCCAAGTCTCAAACACTAACTATCTTTCAATATACAGAACCACATTAATTAATAAAACCTCCTTGAACAGAGAATAAAATAAATTTTTTACTACATCCCTAGTTTAGCTAACAGCAGATTATCTATATCCAAACTAAAAATTTATAAAAAAAAAATTATGTCATTAATTTTTTATAAAATTAAATCTTAATTAATAAAACAAAAAATAAGTTCTCTTCCCAAGTGAATCATAGGGCTTATTTGGTGTAGTTTATTGGAGTTTTTACTCTTTTTTTTATTATTTATGAGTGATAAGTTTAAATTTTTATTGAAAAAAAAATTTAAAAATTATTTTTAAAAATAAAAAAAAAGTAAAAAGTGAGTAAAAAAGTTTATAAAAAATAATAATTTAAAACTTTTCAAAATTTACTGTTTAAAATTTTTTTAAAATTAAAAAAATATTTTAAAATATAAATTTTTATAAAAAAATTTAAATTTATAAAATATAAATAATATTAAAAAATTAAAGCACCCGTGAAGTTCCATTAAATGGACGCATAATCTCCTTAGGTAAAGGAAGCTAGGGGACAAAATGTTCAACTTACCTCGCATGCATTGCACTTCTCCACTGGGCCCAAGAGGCCGATTGCCATGTGATACAATTTAAAAGTTTCCCTGTAAAGTGAGAGTCATTGAATAAGGAATGAAACTTTTAATATAAAGGGTATTATTTATATTTAATAATTAATATTGTGTAATTTAAATTAATTTAAATTATATAATATTTTTTTTGTTAATTTTTATATATTAAAAAATTAATTACTTGTTAATATATAGTTTTAAATCTTTAATTTTAATTTTAAATTAAATTTTTTAATTTAATAAAACTCTTCTTAATACACCTTTTGGTTGGTACAGAATGTAAGACATAATAAAATGATTATTTTTTTTTTTTGGTTAATTTTGAGGGAAATACGAAGGGAAAAAGTTTTTAATCGCGCGTCTTTTGCACGCTGTTTCGAGGGGGTAAAAGTATATGAAAGATAAAAACAGCAAACTTTTTTAATTTCGAAAGTCTAACACCACAAAAACAAAAAAAAAAAAATTTCAAAATCGAAAGGGCAAAACTCGAAACTCGACAAAATCACAAGGGCATTTTTGATATACCGAACTATAAATATGCTTAAAAATCCAATCTCTAAATACTCTTCTATGATCCGTCTGTGTCGTGTCCTGCAGGTTTTACCTCACAGCCCGAAGTAGATTGTCGGAAAAAGGTACACTCCCTTCTACCCTCCCTCCTTTGTACCCCAAATCTAGGTTTTTTCTTTCTCTTTATCTGCGATAATATTGCTCATAATTCCTTGAAACCGAGCAGGAATTACTCATTTATGGCTAAATATTGAAGCTTTACTTTGATTATTTCAAGTATTTTGCTGTTCTTCATTGTTATGCATTTTATTAGGTTTTTCTTGATGTGGATCTTTTGGGGTTTTAGATTTAGTTGGTTATGTAGCAACTGAAGGTGATTGTTTTATGTTTTTTTTTTTTTTTTTTTTTTGGGTTTTAATTTGATGTAGGTCATGTTAGTTCTAGATTTAGAGTAACTTTGGTTGTTCTCAAGTGTAGAGTTGACCTTGAGGTCTGAGGAGGTAACTTGGTTCTAATTTTCTGAATGTTGAGTATTTTGCTAATTGAAATTGAACTGGTAAATGGTAGCATGTTTGGGAACATCCCACGTGTTTTTCTTGCTATAGGCGTTGATTGTTGGGAATTGCTCAATCTAAAGTTGTAATGCATACCCAAGTGGGCATATTAATCTAATTTTCAATAAGACAGGTGATAAAACTTTGTAGGTAACAGTAACATGATTTATATGCCTGACCTGACTTCCCTAATATGAAATGAATAAGAAGCCTCTCGTCAATGCTTGATTGGAGACATTAAATGGATACAAACATCTGATATGGTATATTTTTATAGATCCCCAATTAAAAGAATAAGAAGCTTCTTGCCGTTGCTTGTAGGTTGAAAGTTAACGCAGCTTTCCAGCCAGTCTTTTTAGGCATTGATTGAAAGTTAAACTTTGTAGGTAGCATGCTTTATAAGCCTGATCTGACTTCCCTAATATGAAATGAATAAGAAGCTTTGCGTCAATGCTTGATTGGAAATATCAAATACAAACATCTGATATGATATATTTTTCCAGATCCCCAATCAAATGAATAAGAAGCTTCTTGTTGTTGCTTGTGGATTGAAAGTTAATGCCACTTTCCAGCCAGTCTTTTTTCCCTAATATTGGCATGTTATATGGTTAATGTGCATTATAATTTCTTATGTCAAACAATTGTACTAGGCGTCACAAGATGGAGAATTTGAACAGCTTTTGGCAATTGGGTGATGACCTTCGAGGGCAATCAAAAGTTTCTGAAGATCATAAATGGTTAGTGGCTGCCTCTAAATTAGCTGAGCAGACCAGGTCAAAGGGTGAACGCATGAATAATCTTGATCTTTCAAAAGGCTCGGCTGACTTAAGAACAAGAGATAAGTTTGGGTTCCAGGAAGACAACAAGTTTGAGAGCCTTAACTTCAACATGTTGAACTTGGATTCTAAGATAGCAGATAATGTGAGCAGAAGTTCCTTCCGGGGTGGTATTTATAATATGAATGCTGTCTACCAGAAAAACAACAGCAATACTCCAGGTAATTTGAATGGGAACAAGTATAGCGGCAATAATCACAACATCAAAGAGGCCAATAATAACAGTAACACCAGCAATAACAATGAAAACAGCAATGCAAACAATGCAGTAGACAAAAGGTTCAAAACTTTGCCCACAACAGAGACACTCCCTCGTAATGAGGTGCTTGGTGGATACATCTTTGTGTGTAACAATGATACAATGCAGGAAGATTTAAAGCGCCAGCTGTTTGGTAAGTATCACTCTCTTTGCCTTTTTTATTCCTTTTGTTTTTTACTTTGGTCCTGGATTATAACAGTTTGATAATCACATGATTGATAGGTTTACCACCAAGATATAGGGATTCTGTGCGAGCAATTACTCCAGGCTTACCTCTATTTCTCTATAACTACACTACTCATCAGTTGCATGGAATTTTTGAGGTTTGTATCCTGTTGCATGACATATTATATTTAAGTGGGCAATACCATGCTGTCTATAGATTCAGATAATCCTCCTATCACAATTCCTTCACCCCAAAAGCAAAATCATCTCCTCTCTAATTTTATCAGATATTGCTCTACTAATTAAATACGTTTCTCTCTCTTGCTCCCTGCTTTTTTTCCTTTTACCATGGTTTTTTTTTATCCTGTACAGGCAGCAAGTTTTGGTGGTTCTAACATAGATCCCACTGCTTGGGAAGACAAGAAGTGTAAAGGCGAGTCTAGGTTCCCTGCTCAGGTAATATCTAGTTCAATTTAGAAAACCCTTTTTTAGTTTTTCTTTTCTTTTTTTTTTCTTTTTTTGGTACTTTTCATTTCTGAGTGATTATGCATGATCCGTCTCACTTATATCCATTGTTGTCAAAATCTAGATTTAAATCTCAAAATCTAGATTTAAATCTTAAAATCTTACGATTTTACGATTTCAGCAAGACATTTCGTGTAAAATCTATACTAAAATCTGAAATTTATAAAATCTAGATTTTACCGTGAAATCAGGTAAAATCTCGATTTTACCGTGAAATCAGGTAAAATCTCGATTTTACCTTTTGTTTGGCAGTTGGACTTTAGCCTATTTTCTTTCGGCCTTCTCATTTTGGGTTAGTGAGTTTTGACTAGATAACCTATAAATTAAGCTCATTTTTCATTTTTTGACTAGATAACTCATAAATTAAGCTCATTTTTCATTTTAAAAGTCCACAACCCACACAACCCAACCACAAATCAACATTTTAATCGAGAATTCGGGACAAATTTGATTTAACTATCTAAAATTCTAAATTTAAGTCATCTTCT